TCTGTCTCAAAAAAAAAACACAAAACAGAAAAGGAGGAAAGGAAAGAAGAAACATGTAAACACATTTGCTGAAGGTGGGGGACAGAGATAAGACACACAAAGTCCCAGGGAAGTGGATTCAGAGCCAGAGAGAGGGAGAGACAGAAATCCTGCTGGGATGGGAGATGCCAAGGGGGATTTCAGAAAGGCAAAGTGACAGGAGGGAATGGAAGAAAAAACTGAGGCTGGGAGCCAGTGTCTTCTCTGACAGAGGACACCGGTGGGGCACCCCTCCCTGGTCCCCAAGGACCCCAACTCACCAGACAGTTGAAGTGTGGCCCATCGAGCCTGGAGGGGGAGAGACATAAGGGCATGTCAGGGCTGCCTTCAGCCACCTGAATCTCCAAGTGGTTAGGGGCTGACAGGGGAGATGGTGGCAGCTGTGTCTACTCTGCAGTCAGGCTTGGTGTCCCTGCCTGAGACCTGCCTCACCACATTCACCCCACTCCCCCATCAGGAGAGGAAGTTGGGGGTAAGGACCAGGCAAATGTTCCCCCCCCCATTTGCATAGATGGGGGGCAGGGAAAGTGAGGGAGAAAGTCCCCAGAGAGGAGTGGGGGAGGGAGTCTGAGCCAAGCCAGCCTTGTGGCAAATCAGTTAAATGGGTGCCCCTTAGACCAGAGAAGGATGGAGAGATATCTGGGCAGAGATGAAACAACACAGAAGGGCCCCAGGCACCAAAGAGTAAGGAGAGGTGGGGAGGAACGAAGGTGTGTGAAGGGGCATCCATCCAGGACAAAGAGCATTTCTTGAGCCCTGTATTGGGTGGTGGGTGAGAGAGGAGAGAGAAACAGACAACAGAGAGCTGGAAAGATACAGTGAAAGACCCAGATTGAAAGCAAGTGGCAGAATGGAGTGCCAGGAAGAAACAGATGCAGCCAGATGTGGAGTGAGGAACAGACACAGTGAGGATGATGCAGGGAAACCCAGGGAGAGGCAGAGACAGACCAAGTGAGAGCCACCGAGGACATCAGCCAGGGAAATGAGATATTTGGAAACAAGGAAAGACAGGAGGGGGGGCGGGGGTGGGGGGAAGAAGCCTGAGCTCGAGAAGGAAAAGAACCAGAGGGGCAAGGGACAGTATGGACCCTTCCTTCCCTGGGTAGGACAGAGACCACTGCCCATGGGTGAAGGGCCAGAGAGATGATAGAAGTCCAGAGGGCAAGCTTGGAGGGACACCACTTACTGTGCAGCCTCCAGGGTGAGCATGATGGTGCTGGGCCAGAGCATGCCACCCACTGTAGCCACCACCCTATTTATATCTTGGCCCAGCCCCCCTGGAGCTCAGCCTTCTCAAAATCCCCTTAGTCGGGGTGGGGGGGTGGGGGGGGTGTGGGGCGGGCCTAGGTTGCACAACCCTGTGGTCACATGGCAGGGAGGACGGGCCAGGGGCTGCCTGGATTTGGGGATCCCCACAGAGGATGGGGATAGGAGAGGAGCTGGATTAGGGGACCCCAAAAAAGTAAAGGAAGGGAGGTCAGTGAAGGGGGAGCAGGAACTGGGGGACTGGACCCAGGAGCAGGATTTCAGCAGGAGCAGGCTGGGTCATGGGTAAGGGGTGGCAGCAGGACGCTATCTCTGAGGGTCCTACAGGTCAGGTAGAATTGTTGCACTGTTGGTGCCTGAAGGAAGTAGGGCGCTGCAGGGATAGATACAGGAATCACCAGGGGCTCGCACAAGTGGACAGGTGCTGGTGGAAAAGCAGACCAGACCTGAAGCTGATCACCAGGACCCTGACATGGAAACATCTGTGGGTGTGACATGGGACGGCGGGGGGCTCCCCTTGGTCATGCAGGGGAGTGGAGCCTCTGTCCTGGGGCTGCCCCAGGGCCCAGAGGGAACAGGTCAGCACCTGGAGGGCGGGGCAACCCACCAGGGAGGGTAGGCTGGGGCCAGACAGTTAGGTGCCCAGCACAGGGGTAGTGGAGAGCATGTGTGGAAAGACAGTCACTCAGCTGCATGGGAGGGGTCAAAGGGAAACTGAGGCAGACCTGACAGCAGAAACCTCAGCACTGAGGGCAGAGGCCCAGCAGGAGCTTTGGGGCTCCAGGCCCAGCTTATGAAATACAACTTGCCCCCCACAGAGACCACAGAACACCAGGTGGCAAAGACCTCAACTTTATTAAATAATCCTCATACCCTGCCCAGCCCTGATGGGTGCTTCTGAGGTCACCAGGCCTCAGGGCCAGGGGGCCCAAAGCGTCGCAAAAGCTGCTCCTGGTCCTCCAAGTCCTTTCGTACCTTCTTGCGCATGTAGAAGATGGGACAGTCCCGGCTGCAGATGGATGGTGGGGTCAGGCTGGTGCCCAGCCCAGGGATGGGGTGAGGGCAGCGAGCACCCGCCCCTGGGGTAGGGGCTGTTCCCAGGACTTTGGCCCCTGCCTGCTGCCCACCTCCTTAGTGGCAGGCTGTTTGCTCAGTGGGCTTGGAAGGGGGGCTGATAACAGCGGGTGCCCAGTGAGAAGCAGGCCATGCCGTATATCACCTGTCACCTGGCGTGGGAACCCGCCCTGCCCGTCTGTTCCCTGGGGAAAGCCCAGCCCCTCCCTCGGGGGGGGGGGGG